ATACAGAAGTTCAGCCTATTATTTTACAAAGATCTTCATTTCAACAAAATCAAATTAAAAATCATTTTATTCTACAACAAATCATACGTGTTATTGAAAAATAAATATTTTTTGTCGTATTGAAGTTAGATTAATTGTATTTGACATTAACCCACTTAATTTTTTATCCCTGTTAATCACTTTTCTTTTCTTTTTTCTTTTTTATCCGTGTTAATCACTTTTTCTGGCCCACACATAGATTCGCCCCCGCTCGTGATCCATATTACTCCATTAAAAAAAAATACTTTAATTCTTAGAGAAGTCATGATTCTAGTATTACATGCCTATACTTGACAAAAAAACACGACTCTAGTGTAAAAAACATACTAATATGAGGAAAATTTTAATTTGGTTTTTTGCGATAGTATTTCACAAAAGAACACATAATTCAGGTGTGTGTGTGTGTTCGCGCGCGATTTTAAAAGTAAGTATGCTTTTAAAATCAACTCTATTTATTCTATACGAACAACTAACGTAGAAAACACGATTTTTGTATCACTTGTACCAATTGAAACATAAAAAAAATAATTTTGGTGTCAACGCCAATAATTCTTGGATAAAACCTTATTTTGAGTCTAGGAGAAAACTTGACTTTGGTGTTCAATTACACCTATCTTTCGTTACTTAAAAATAACCAAGTGTTATCGATTTTAGTTTTACCTAATTTCAATAATAGTGTCCAATGCTCTTCACAACGTAGATAAATAATTTCTCACCAAAATTGTCATAATAAAAAGACAATATAACATAATTATTTAACTCTCCACCCGACAATGTTTGATTACTCATGTCACCCTCTCTCTGTTGGATTTTATTGTGCTCTTTTTTGGATTTCTTCATTGGAGTTTTCTCTTTTGTTATGTATGCATTACTTTGAAATTTATAATAATTAATTCTTAATTATAATTTGGATCTATGAATTTATAAACAAAACTTTAAAAAGATATGCATGCATATAATCCACCGTCTTAAATTTATATCTTTTTGCATTAGTTATGAATGAATTGACCGTCAATGTCTATGGTAGAGAATGTTCAATAATTAGAAAATAACACACTAATTAGGAAAAAGTTAATGTCTCAACCGTAAAATAAGTTTAGTTCTACTGAACTACTATAACTATAAAAATTTGAATTTAAACATTAATCGATAAAATTAGAATTTTTACTTACTGGACTAATCGCTCGATGATTACGGACGGTAATCTCTTCATGAAAATATATAATAGACGCTTAATAGTGGAGTTGCTTATCAGTTTGAAGATGCGTGGAGTTGCAGGCGAGTGGGTACAAGCGAAATATGACCCCAGCCAGTATGGGGGCTTGATGTGTTGTTTGACGCTGAACCGTTGGATCATTTTTGGGACACCATTTGGTCGGTCCACTTTTCTTTTCATGTCCTGCTCTGACTTACTGAGTTCTGAACGCCGACACTGCCTCGCCACTGAGTTGGATGGATCGCATGTGTCTTGCTTGCGACCCTGTGTGAAGCCTGGTCAGGCACTTGGAGTAATATTCGAATTTATGACGTTAAAGTTTAATAATCAGTCTACTGTTAGCTTTAAACTTTCGTATGAATCTTACTTTGGAACGACGACGAGAATTAAATTTATAATCTTAATGCGATCTATGTCTATTCCAATGAATCCTATTTGGATTGCATTTTTTAATATTTTTTTATAACATATCATTTATTATTAATAATAAATAAGAAATTTACTTGTAAACTTCAAAGATAGTTTAAAAAAAATGGTATTTTAGACGACCTATAAATTTAGGTATTTTTGATTTAAATATTAATAATTCTTTAGAATCAAACTATGTGAAAAATTTATTATTAATATTTTAGTCTTGACATGAATAACTTATTTTTAATTAGACGGTAAAATTGACACCCAGAGTAAGTAAGAGAGAGTGAGAGACCCAACATGGAGAGGTTGGAACAAAATCGTTGCAGAACAGAAAAAGATAAACAAAGAGGTGGGGGACAGAAAGTCATTTTAAAGAGGTATATATACCATAAAAGAATATAGAATTATTAAGATTATTTTATTGTAATTAAATTAGAAAAACTACACGTAAATATTATTATTATTATTATTATTATTAATTATGGACTAAAAATCAGGTAAAAGCAAGATTACTTCAAATCTAAGTATGATTCAGCTGTTGAAATATATAGCCACACGTCGTGAAAAGCATAGAAAAAAAAAAAAAAAGGACTAAAAAAAGTAGTCATTGAGATTGAGACCACTGCAGAATCTCAAAAGCTGCTAAAACTTGATTCTCTGCTCAACAGTAGCCGTCAATTTCTGTTAAAAAGACTTCACAACCTTTGCCTCGTTTCTCACAAATAGCTCCCTAAAAGGATTGAGATTTTCACCCAATTTTATTTAATAATAAAATTATATACCCCGTATGTTTTTATGCAAGACCTATTATTTACATTTGTGTCTTTCATCTCTACATAATTAATGGTATACCATTAAATAAAGAGTTAATTATTTTTTATTTTCATGTGATTTTGGCTAGAAATATTTTATTTATTTAACGTTTAAAATTATACACATTATCCTATTATAGTTATGTATCAAAATAAAATAATTTATTTTATCATTCAAGTTAATGAAAAATGTGCTCTACACGTTCAAAATATGTTATGAACTTTGTTTTCATTGTTTTCTTTCAAAAAAATATTGTTTAAGTGTCTAAAATATTTTTTATAATATATGGTATAATACCCAAATAGGTAGAGTATCGATCACAAATAAAAAAAATATGTAAAAAAAATATAAATAATTTTTAGCCCCCTGATGAGAGAGAAAAAAGAGACTCGACGTATTTAATTGAAATATATTGATTTGTTGTCATTTTTAAAACGTGAGTATTATAATAATTTTTTAATTTTGTTAATAGTGTCAATTATTTTATTTTGTTATGAATTCTGTGAGAACCACTAATCTAATGAGATATATTAGTGTGTGCTATATTGTAACAAATAAAACCAACCTTCTGAAAATGATTAGCATGTCAAGAATCAAAATTAGTGATGGAGAAATCACAATTTTTGATGTGACGCGCTAATATTAGATGAATTTTGATGGAATGATTTACACAATTGAGTAGGACGTACTATCTAAAAATTTGGGTAAAGTGTGAATTAGATCACTTTTTAAAAACGATTCGTGCCCTTTTATAGAATAACCATAATACAGAAGGTGACATCAGGTCATCCCTAAAATACAACAATCTACCCTAACTGACTATTGCTTCACTTAAATCTACACAATTGAAATGAAACATAATCTTCACACGATACTTTTGCTATATTGCTTAGAAAATAATTCAATAGGAAATAATATAGAAGTGTGTCTTTCTATTATGAAATATATAAATATATATACAGAAAAAATATGACTATTGATATCCTGTAATTATTTACATATTTAATTAGATAATAAGTTTTAGAATTTAATTAAAAAAAAAGACAGTTGGAAAAACATTCTTTAGACCTTAAATATTCATAAACTAAATTTTTAATAAAAAATAATAAAAAGTGGGTTTGACATTATATATTATTTTATTACTCGCATCTTCTCCCCCATTTTTGTGCAGGTGAAAGTCTTAATGTCTCATTTAATTTAATGGTTATATAACACTAACATATATATACTCAAATACTTTAATTCTTTGTTTAGCAGGCACGATAGAAAGTAAGAGAGATAAAAAAATAGGAATGATAATTTTTTTTTTTTTTTTTTGTGTTTGATATGATGGATGTAAAGTATAAATGATTATTATTATGTGTTTCGTATTAATGAAAAAATAGAATGATGAAAAAATATATAAATAATATGTAATTGATAAATATGATATATAGACAAATAATATATATTTCAACATATATAATTAATTTTTCATCTACTTTCTTCCAAATTTTAGATGAATTTATTTTGATGAGAATGAATGAAAACTAATCCATCAATTTTTCATCATTCCTATTTTTCTTCATTACCAAACATAATATTTTACTTATCCCTCTAACTTTCTATCATTTTAACTTTCCATCGTTCTATTTTTTCATCGTACCAAACGGAAAGTTAGAAATTTAGTCGACGTGAGATTAAATTTTCAATATAAAATGCTCATTTTATTAAATTACTGTAACATAATATAAAATAAAGTTTGCATATTAAAAAAAATATATGAATGTAACTATGATCATATTTCTAATTTCATTGTCACTCGTTTTCTCAAAAAAATATTAGATGTACTAGTGATATCATGTGACATTGATAATGTAATGTCACAAACTACTGAAACTAGTGATAGAATAACTCTAGAATATTGAAATAGTGAAGTTTAAAAAATTTTTACTTTTTATTTTATAATTAGTTGGTAATACCACATGACATGACAATGATGAAGCGTTGTCACCGTTACACCCATTATTTATTCCATCTTCTCACCATATTAGTATTCATTTTTTTTGGGGGCAAATTACATTTTGTACCTTAAAAATTTAGGAATTCTTAATTTATATACTCAAATATTAGATTTTTTACATAATACTCACAATATATTATATTAAAAGTATTAAAATGTGACACTTTCGTTAATTTTCGTTATTTATTTTGTCAAACATCAATAGAATGAATTTTGACAGAATAAATAACAAAAGATAAGAGAATGATTATATTATAATATTTTTAATACATTGAATTTGCTGCGTGATGAATTTCATCATTTAAGTTATAAAGTGAGACCAATTAAAAAAAAAAGTTATAAAATATGAAAGTTTAAATCTTTTGACATACTCAATGAGATTCTCTCTTGTTTTTTTTTGGGTAGATTTAGCATTAGGCTTAATAACTGTTTTAATTGGTGGAATAAATAAAAAAAATGATGAGTTGTAACTTGAAATGTAATTTACACGCGCATCCGTAGTGGTTTCTGCTATTTCTATGCTCTTTCTGTATATTACACCTCCTGGTGTCTGCTAATGCATTGGTTTGGCCAACAGAAAAATGTTCTTTAAAGCAGTCTTTCACGCTTGGAAACAGGTACAGATTTGATCTTATCGTACTAACTTTGGGAGGGAAGCCTGTTGGAACTTGGAAACTACTCCTAAAACCCATTAAAGAGAGAGAAAGTACAGAACAGAGAGAGAGAGAGAGAGAGAGAGAGAGAGAGAGAGAGAGAGAGAGAAAACTTTTTGAAAGAGAGGAAATACAGTTGCTGGGCGTGGGAGGTAAGAGCTAGAGAGGGAAAATCTAGAGAGAGAGAGAGGGAGGATGTTTGCAGCTGAGAATGGACTCAAGGGAGACCCAAGGCTTCAAGCCATTTCTGAAGCCATAAGCGTCATCCCTCACTTCCCAAAACCAGGTTTTGGACTTCTCCTTCATTTTTCATTTCTCTCACTTGCTTTTGTGTATTTTTAACAAAATTATGAGTACATCTTCTCTTCTTTTTTGTTAGGGATAATGTTTCAAGATATAACAACTTTGCTACTAAATCACAAGGCATTCAAGGACACTGTGGACATCTTTGTGGAGAGGTACAGAGACATGGGGATCTCTGTTGTCGCTGGTAATCTCTCTCCCTCGCTCTCTCTCTCTCTCTCTCTCTTCTGGTTTTAGCCAACTTTCTTGGTTTTCCCACATGTAATTATGCATTCGTTGGGTTGTTATTTTAATATCATTCATTCAATGTATAAAATTTATGAGAAAACTTTCTTTATTTGGTTCTCTTATTTATTTTATTCTATATTTGCTGAACTTTATTGGGTAGTCTATTTTTTTTTTCTTGGTGTATGTTTTCACTGGATGGTGTAGATTAGATTTGGCAATAATGTGATACATTTAGTACAGCACAGGATTGTTAAGGTTTTTTTCATCTCAAATTTGTTTATGGATCCTCTTTTTTAGCACCTGCCGACAGTTTTTGTTAGGATTAGATTATCTCTGCTGTTAATGGTTTTATGGACTTATTTGACAAATGACAATCATGCAATCTGTTACTTTTGGGAATTTTGGTTTATCATTTTTGGGTTTTTGCATCATCTTTCTTTATTTAAGTTTGTTTTTGGGTTTAGGAATGGCGGATAAAGCAGTCTCTAAAATCCTGGAAAAATTCTCTTATATTTGCTAAATTACAGTGTTTGCTAAAGAACAATTTAATCTCTATTATACCACCATTTTGCTATCTTTAGTTATATTTGTTTCAAGCTATTTCTGGGTATTTGAGTAATGCCACTCATTTGCTAAGTTTAGTCTATGGCTACCATTATTTTATTTTATTTTTCTTCTTCTGGATTTGTTTTGAAACTGTGATTTTTTAAACTTAGTAGACTGCCATCTCAAAAAAAAAAAAAAAAAAAAAAAAGAAAAGAAAAGAAAGTAGACTGCTTCCATGTTTTCTGCGTCCTCTACTGTTCTTTCGTCTCACAATTTTCCTGTATACAATTTGCGCCCATCCATTTTGCGTCGCACCCAAAATTGCTGTAAAAATGAATTGCTTATTAAGAATATTTTTAATATTATTTTTTCTTGTCTTTATAGGCATATTAAAATTGTTATGTCCTAATCGAGTTCATAGGAGGCCACCCAAGTTGTAGGCGAAGGGCTACCCTTTAAATTTTTTAAATGTCATATAAATTTGGCCATATATATGAAGGGAGTTTGGTTGTGCAGATATGAATTTTGTGCAGTGCAGCAGTGGGAGTTGTTGATGATCATATGAAATCCTGGGGTTGTAAGAGTATCAAAACAAACCGTTCTAGTTGCAGTTAATAACTTTGTTGGGTCTGGATACAATAGGACAACCTTGCTTCAATCAAGCTGAACTTAATACAAGCATAGCTTGGAGAAGTTGTGGTCCTGGCTTTGATGAACATTTACTGTAACTCCTCTGTTGGATGGCATCTATGACACATCAAAAACAAGAAACTTCAAAAAACTTTACACAACCTGTTAATTGCTGAATTAACTCCTTTAACATGTAGGCTGTAGTAATAAAGTTGATTCTCCAGATATTGTCCTGCATGGTTGAGGAGAGCAGGTTCGAGTGATAAGTGCGTTATAGTTATTTTTTTTATTATCTAGTATATAGCTGATTTTTCTTTTTCCTTTTTTTTCCGGCTCTTGTCATTTTCTGTCCTTCTGTTTTCTCTATCTTTCTGCTGCTGCATCATCTTTTTCCTAAGATATTCAGGCCTAATTTTACTACTTGCCCACCGTTGGTTCTTGTATTGTTTGTATACCGATATGTATATCAACATCTGACTTGAGTTGTATAGCACATGGTGAGCTAGAGACAAAAATGAAGGGCCATGGGAGTTGGTGTCTGAAGTGGACTCTATATGCATAATTGGAGAGTTCTTGCCCTCTAGGGGCTCTATGTTTAGCATGTAGTTTTCTTATTGATTTTGATGCTGTCGAGTCCAGAAATAAGATTTTTTAGTTCTATGATAGTGATCTCTGGGTCACAGAATAATTGATTATTTTTACTGCATTCTAATGTTTCTTAAGTTACGTGCAGGAATTGAAGCTAGAGGATTCATGTTTGGTCCATCTGTCGCCTTAGCCATTGGTGCAAAGTTTGTTCCATTACGTAAACCTGGAAAGCTGCCTGGTATGCCTAGGGAACTCACTTTCAAAGTAGGGTTATGCTTTGAAACTTCTTACTATTTTTTTTCGTCTTATTTTTCATTTGAAGAAGAACTGAGACACAATTAACTCCTAGATCTCTGTTGATGCATTCAGTCATGCGTGATCCTTTTACCTGGTTATGGATGCAAATACTTTGAGTCTGAGCAAATCCTTTTCTGAATGATTGTTGGGTAAAAGAAAAGCATAAAGAAACGCATAGCCATGGCAGATAGGCAATCAGTTATGTAACTGGAATAATTCTTTTCTTTATATTCAATCTCTGACGGTGTCCAGGCATTTGATGTTTCAGTTCCACTGTGGCACAAAAAGTTTCTGAACTTTGCACTGTATTTCAGTTTACCTGTTCAATTTGAAGTTCCACGCTCTTTTAATCCATTTTTTAAATAAAAATCATATCAACAAGAATAATGTCCAGGTGCTGCTTATTGAAGTGACTATAACCATAGTTAAATAGTTTCTTTGATCATTTACATTTTTTATGGCTGTGAAATAAAACATTATTGTGGTTAAGGGAAGTTGCTTGCACATTTATCTGTTGAAAAACCTACCCTATCGAACACAATTATCTTCTGCCATGCCATCGTCAACATCACGCTGCTGTGATGGTCAGTCCATGTAAACATTGTTGGTGTCATTTGCTTCCATAAAGAACAAACATGACGCAGTGACACTGATATGGAGATTGATATGAGACAATGTAGCAAAAGATGCAAGATGCTTTCATGTTGGCATACTATTTTTGAGGCCTCAATTTTCTGGTATCCAATTTAATTTGTCATATTGATTCGTTCAAGTAAGGTCAGTTTCGAGATATTTCTATGAAGATCCTTCTAGAAGCTCATGTTGTTTCCATACACAGCAATGCCCAGAGGTTTAGCTCATATTAAGACCACTAGAGGTCAAAGTTTTTTGTTGGAGTTAAGTGAAACTGAATTCAAAAAAGTAAAAAAAAGAGCAAGATTTGAGCAGAGAAAACATAATTGGAAAGTACTGGTAAAGGCGTTGCACTTTTAGTAGTATCAATACTATTAAAGATAAATGTATGTAGTACTAGAAAAAACAAAATATGTGTTGACTTTGTAATATAGTTACTTATATATAGTCTATGAAACATGTACACTCTAAAGAAGACTTCGTATCTGTGTTGGACCCTTCTTGGACACCGACACTTGTTGAACACTCTTATCAACGTGTCCGATACTTTTTTATCCGTGTTTATAATTAAATGATAAAATTTAATTTCGGACATGTGTTCACTTCTTTGGCAGCTTGCCCGGCACTTCTTAGGTAGGACACTTCTTTTGGCAGCCTGCTTGACACTTTTTTGGACCGCTATTAAACAATAAACATGGGTTACTTGTTTGTGTCGTATCCGTGTCCGTGTTTCTTACTATTTAGTAGTAATTATTTTCTTTTATAAAAAAAATTTGGCAGATTAAAGTCTCTTTTCCTCTCCTTGTCTCCCAACCTCACAATCACAGGCAAACTATGATGTGTGAGCATCTGAACATGCACAAAGAAATACATATCTTTGCTCCGGAATCTGTCCATTCTCAGCCTCTGGAATTACGTTTTGGAAAACAGAGCTTCTTACTATTTATTTCCCTTGCATTTCGTGAAGATATATGCTTCTCTATTATCTTTGTTCTAAATTTTATCCTGGATCTTTAAAAATGCTGAATTTGCAGCTAAAGTAGTATCACAAGCTTATGAGCTAGAGTATGGTACTGATTGTCTCGAGATGCATATTGATGCTATTCAGCATGGGGAACGGGCAGTGGTAATTGATGATTTAGTTGCTACAGGAGGGACCCTCTCCGCAGCAATGAAACTTTTAGGTAGTTGATGCCCTTTCTTGGGTTGTCATATATCATCTTCAGTGTGGTTCTTTTCTGGTTTTTCCTGGAAAGTTCTCTGTTATTTCACTGTCGTTAAGCTAAAAACAATTCGCATACTGTTTTTCCAGAATGTAGGGGGGGCGAAGTTGTTGAATGTGCTTGTGTTATTGGGTTGCCTGATGTCAAGGTAATGCTCAAACTATTGTAATCTGTGCTTGTATCGTCTTTTATTTTTTTGTTCTTTAGAACCTTACTGACAATTATTATTGGTATTTTCCTTACTATTTTATAAGTGCTAATTGTCATTGTACTCCAATTCTCTTTGCTGCACAGTTATTGGTTATCATAGTTAAACTCCAAATTAACTAATTGCCAATGCCAATGTCCCGTTTTCAACTATGCCAGTAATCAAAATCCAACTTCTGGAATGGCTCCCAACCTCTATTTTGTATAGGCTTCTAAAGGGATTAGTCACTCGCATAGTGCCAGCTTAATGGCACAAATGTCCCAAATCAAGCATATGACCTAAAGGAAACTTTGCCGTCCTACATAGTTACAGCTGATTGATCACTATCCAATTTCTTAAATATTCTTCTGAGAGACCCCACACATTTTTCCTGCCCATCAGTTTGAGGATGGTTAGTCATAGAGAAGTTCACCGAAGTTTGTGAACCTGTAAGACTCAAGCTATAGATTCTGTTTGTTAGAATAGGGCTGAATGCAGTAAAAACCCAAATGCCCAATTCTTAGACTCGAAAAATGAATTCAACGATGAAATCCTTGCCCAAAAATGGACAAGTACCTCCATCAATATAGTGCTTCTGTCTAGAAATCAGTGAAACTGTCCCTTACAATGAAGACAATCATAAATGAGAAGCAATCACCAAAGAGAACTATTAATACATATGTTTCAAGGGTGGAGTGGAGTGGAGTGGAATCAATGGGCATGATCTCTTTTGGAGAGTTTCTCCATGTCTTCTAACTTTTTGCTATTTTGCTGCCGATAATGTCACCTATTGATCTTCAGATATTTCTGAGGACTAGGATTTTTTTTTGTTTGGAAAGCTCTTGAATGGGCGTACCTATGTCTAATAAAGCTTATCTCCTTCACTGTTAATCAGAAATGTGAACAATCTAAGGTGTGACCCCTCTCGCATCCACTTCTTTTCAGATACACTTGTTTATAAATATTTTTGTTAAAGTTTCATCTTCTTTTCAATGTTGGATTTTCTTTACTTCTGTGTGTATGTGTGTGTGTGAGTGGGTGATGAGGAAAAGATGGGGTGTTTCTTGAGCCACTAGAGAATGTATGGACTAATTTCATGCTGTCCTAAGGATATCGTTTGGAAATTTCCACTAGATAACCATGCTAAAGAATAATCTACTTTCAGTTCTTTTAGGATGTAATCTGTGCGGCTACTACATTGTAACTCTTTCCTTGTATGACTTGTTTCGATCATTTCTTACTTTCAGCGGCAGCCAAGACTTAATGGAAAGCCACTTTATATTCTTGTGGAGCCACGGGAAATGGAACATAGCTGCTCAGGTACAATGTCATTGTTCTCCTGGATCTAAATGAACAAAGTACAGCTTTTGGAAGATTTAATTACAAAAAAAAAAAAATTTGGTAAACTTTACTTCAGTACTTCTAGAGGCACACGAGTTATGTAAGTACATTCTTGACTGAAATGTACATTCTTCTGTTTACTTCATTTCCCCTCCATTCGTCTAGAATGTGTCATCGTGTTCTCTCTTATACTTCTTGAAGGAAACAATCCGAGGCACCAAATTTTGTTCATTTTGGGCTGCAAATCCATATTATAAATTCTACCATGTCCAACAATCAAAATTTTGTTTTTGTTTCGGCCAGCTCAAAAACGTAAACGTTTCGAATACATTTCAGAAATGGAATAGAAACTTAAAGAATTTGAAATTTTGTCTCCGAAACATTGGTGAAAATATATCAAAACATTGAAACTCCGATATTCTTACTGATTCATTTTGGTTTCTATGGAAACGAAAACATTTTGGTCTTTTCAGTGGGGAAAGAATCCAAAATTTTGATCCTTGACCATGCCTCATAAAGATCACATTCAATTTCACCGTGTTCTTCAGTTGCATTACCTTGCGGTCACATATTCGCATTATGGTTGCCTGATACACATGATAAATGTCATCTTTTCCGTAGTGTAACATGGACAAAAACATCATTAGACCCATCAAATTCTAGAAAAGCAAGATGACTCCTGTGTTTAGAAATATATGTAGCACATTTGTGGCCCATCTGATGCTTCTCATTCATATTGGTCCTGTTTGCAGCTATTATCTCTGCTAAGTGAAAGAATTCTGGCTCCTTGTGATTGGGGTACTCCGGAGCCTGCATCTTGAATTAAGCAAGAGTTTCTAGCATACAACTCTATTGGTTTGGGGGCGCATTAAATTGTCATATGACAACAGACCTTTGCATTTGTTAGTTTTAAAAAGGATAGGATTCAAATAGGAACAGAGAGAGTCCTGACTTGATTACCATAACAGGAAAGATTGAAAGTGGAATATGCATTTGCTGATTCAACCAACATGACTTGATGTTGGATTTTTCTCTGCATCCTTATCTTTTAGTCACTGTTCTCCGCTAGTTTTGATGTGATTTTGATCAAGACATGGAACTAATGGAACTATGGATGATCTTATATCTCTAGCTGTCATCACAGACCTTCTATCATTAGCACCAGTGAAACTCATGAATCTTATGTTTTTATTGTGATGCAACATTTCTTTGCTATCTGCCTGCAAAGTGACTAAATATTAGCATATGCATTTAGGGGGAAATGTTTTTGGAGAGGGGCTGGAACCCTTCATAACTTTCGAGCGAATAATGTGTTGGATTTTTCAAACTTTGGAACGATCTTTAGGGAGGCCATCACCTCTCCCCTCCCCTTTAAATTTTGGGACTGCATTTTTTTTAACCCTTTGTTTTCTGTGTACATGCAGATCTGCGGGTGTGCTTGGGGTGAATTCGGACTGGAAGAGATGATGCTTGGGCAACCATTCGAACACAAGCTACAGTTTTGAATAGCTGGTGTTTTGCCTTTGAAACCTCCCTCTTTTCTTTCGTTTTGGTTTTTATTTCCTCCTTTGTCTTCCTAATGTACCCTTCTAGGTGCAGCTAATTCAATTTGAGTTGAATTAATTGGACAATTTGAGAAAAGCATTGTTGAATTCATGTTTTGTAAGCTACTCAGTTGAGCATTATTCAGAGGCTTACGGCTAGCTTTCCTGTTATGGTTTTGGTTGGCTCCTTGCAATTTCCAGTATATTGAATGTTTTTCAGGCTTGACACTGCTAAACTAATACACGGGTTGTTCTTCTTCCTTAGTTTGCTCTTCTGGGTTAACCATTAACAAAGGGAAAAAAAAAATGCGAACCAAAAAACCATTCTAAGTTGGAATTTGAGAACAATCATTTTATGTAAATAATGTTAAAGAGTAGACCATTAACAGGGATTTAATTGGTAATGACTCGTTCTGAAAAAGTTAGACAATACTTGAACATATAATGATTCCATTCAACACTTTACCTTGGCAGACAGCAGACGAAAAGTTTCAATCTTCTTAGCAGTTTCCATAACTGGTTTAGAGACCCCTCTAGGCTTTAACGTAAAAAAACCCATTCTCTAAGAGGCTATCCTTTGTGCTTTACTGTGGTTTACCCATATGCATCAACGGCAAGGGTTACAAAGTGGCCAAACCAACCCAAGTACATTGCAAATAAATAGGGTTGGAGCAGAAGATCTCATAGAGTGTGCTCTTAAACCTCAAAGCCATAAGTAACACATCTATCGATCACGACAGATGTATTTTCTACCCATAAAGTTTACTAACCTTAAACCATAGAATTTTTATCAATTTATGAACAAAAATTCAATATTATTGTCGTGGTTCTCATTGTTTTCTACATACTACATGCTATTCACGTCCATTGCGTAAGAAAAATACAATTCTGTGGAAACTAAGATTTCTGAATACTTGCATACATATAGGGCAACATAATTACAAGGGCAAACATCGTGTTGGACAATTAACTCTTTGAAACAAAATTACTTGATTACCTAGAGAGCGTAATTGTGACGAGGGGTGCCACATATACTGCATATGGAAAAAAGTAACAATATTCACCCCGGTTTTTTATCTATCTGAAAACTTATTTTGTATAATTGGTATTGAAGGAGCGGCCGCATCATCTTTCTCAGAAGAAATGTCTATTTTGAGAGCATAACGGATAATAGTATTCACCTGTTTTCTCAATCTAGCATTATCAGTGAAGATCTCTGTCAGCAACTTCCTCAACCAATCATCTATTGTTCTCATTTCATCATCAATGTCATTATCTATATCAGTAGTAGTTACGTTGCTGCCATTAATTTGAGCTAAGAGCTGCGCCTGATAAAGTTTTGGCAGAACACAAATAAACCACTTATAGTGAGAAGACGCAAAGAAAAACTGGGACCAGAATATGCATGGGGCAAAATGGCATACATAACATAATGCTATAATTAACACACAAACGGTTCAACTATACTCATTATTTTCCGTAACGAGTCACAGCTACAATGTATATAAGATTAGAACGTAAAGCAGCTGAAAACATCTAACTAGCATCGCACAGTGAATTACAAAATAACCTAACCTAGGTAAAAATGTGCTCTGACCGACCCATGGCATAATGGCAGCAAATCATTAAAGATGAAAACGATCACCAACTCCTACCATATGCTCTCGCCACAAAAATTAACCAGCTCTTTATTAAACAGGAAAAAGCGTCTTGCAAGACTATCCTTAATCAGTTATTTGTTAAGACTTCCATATTCCCATCGGTCATTCTAATTTTCTACCCTATACTCTTAAAATCCTTCTCATGGCTATGTCCATAGAACACAATATTTCTCATTGGCAGTTAGTCTCACATCAATAAGGGTATAAATAAAACTAATCAACTTTCTATGGTATAAAAAATGTGGCATTCCTTAATGGTCATCTAGAAAGATTCATTACCAGAAGAGACGGAAATTTTAGAAACTCAGAAAGCAGGATGACTTTAGTGGAGTTCTTCCTAAGAGGGTGGTTTCACATAGTCTACAGGTCTTTCATGATCATATAATATAAGGAGGTTCACTGCCAAATCAGGAAAAAAAGAGAGGAGGCTCCATACTACTAAGATTATAATTATATTTCCTTATCATTAAGGGTAGTCTAGTCTTTTCCTTGTTGTAGGGCTTCTTATATAGTGTCTCTATACTCCCTTTTTATTTTATGGTACTACTAGGGGTAACCTGTGCTTGAAGCCTGAAGACATAGTGCAATGTAAATGATTTTCAGAGAGATATTTGTGGCTGTTGGATGAGTCTATTTGAGACCGTCGGAATATTATAGATATTAGAGTGCCGCATATGATTTTTCTCTTCTTCTATCTTCTCTAAGTGTGGCTTCTTTTCTTTACGCTAGTTGATCTATGTTTTCATGATATCAGAGCAAGGTTTCTTCTGTCTTTCTTGGGTTTTGATTGCAATTAGCATGAAGTACATGAACAGTGAACAATGCATGTGAACGGTAACAGCATTTTTCTGAACAGCGCATGTGAACAGTCATGAACAAGGGTTTTGTTTTGACTTGTAGCCGGCTGCTGCTGACTTTAGATGTTCTAAAATTACAGAATCTGCCCCAAAATATTCTGAAAATACAGAAACAACCCTTGAATTTTCCGAAATTAAGGAATTAGCCCCCTAATTTGTTAAATTTTCACCATCGACCCCAAATTTTCAAGCTACTTTGATCCTTGATTAAGATTAGAGTCTGCCATTATACGTATATGGCAAGTGGAAATTCAGTAATTACATCATATGTGGATGGTTCATCTATTTCTTCTCCTATACTTTTGTACTCATTGGCTCTTTCAGGTATCTCATTCCACATGGGTATTTGATTCAGGTGCAATACATCATATGACTAATGATCCATCTTTATTTATTTATACCTCATCTATTCCCTCCTCTACTATTTTTATGGCTGCTAATGGCCCTCCAATGTCATTCACAGGCGTTGGATCTATTATGACTTCACTCTTATCCCTTCCTAATGTTTATTTTATTCCTCAATTATCTTTGAACTTGATTTTTGTTAGTCAACTATGTGATCTTGGTCTCATTGTTCACTTTTTCTCCGGTGGTTGTATTGTATAGATCCTCAATCTAAGAAACTGATTGGAATAGGTCAAAGAGTTGGAGAATTGTACATGCCGAAAAAATTATATGTTCCAATTGTAATTGTTTCTTATGTTGATTTGTTTTTTTTTCATTTAAGTTTGAAGTTCTCTGGGTTTTATTTATGGTATTCTCGTATTAGACACAATTCTAGTTCTCGTTTGAAATTTTTAGTTTCTACTAGTGCATTAGGTGATTTAAAATAGTTATGATATTTCTGATTGTAGTAGTTGTAAACTTGCTAAATTCACAACTTTACCTTTTAAAAATAATTTCACTTCTTCTGCTCTTAAATCTTGTGCATTCTAATGTGTGGGGTCCTACCCCTATTGGCATAAAAGGGGGTCTTAGTATTATGTTTCTTTTATTGATGATTATACTTGATATTATTAATCATGAAACAATAGTCTGAATTTTCTCTATTTTTTGTCCTTTTCGTGCCATGATTCACACACAATATTCTTCGATCATTAAATATTTTCATTGTGATTTGGGTGGAGAATACATGCACAATCATTTTCTTAACTTATTGAAATCTGATGATACTATTCAACAACCCTCTTGTGCAGACATTCTTGAGCAAAATGATGTGGTTAGCGAAAACACAAACATATCACGGAGACTATTCAATCATTACTCTTATCAGTTCCCACATCCTTTTGAGGAGAATCGGGAAAGGCTGCTCTCATTGCTATTCATCTCATTAATCAAATTCCCTCTATTATTACTTCGGGTGTTTTGCCTTTTGAGCGGTTTTGTGGAAACCTCGACTATTTTTATTTGTCTTTGATTGTACTTATTTTACACTTCTTTCGAAAACTAAACGCAATAAATTATCTGATCGTTCTGCTATGTATATCTTTCGTGGTTATGGTGAGGGACAAAAAAATATCATTGTTATAATCCTATTGCCAAAAGATTGTTATGGATCTAGACATGTGGGTTGCATTTCGTGTAACTTTTCAAAATAAAAGTCTATCTTTAAGATTTACTTTTTAAAATAAACATTTTAAGATGGACTATTTGAAATACCTAATTGTTTGGTAAAAATGTATTTTAGAAGTGCTTTTGAACCAATGTATGTCTACAACTAGTCAAGTTGATCTACAACCATAGTTATCAAATCGTGTATCGAAAGACGTATCATTTTTTAAAAATAGTGTATTGTATCGTATATCGTAAGATACAGTGCAATTTTAAATAAATAATAAAAAAATATATATACCTTTGAAAAAAAATCATATACTCATAAAAATATAGCATTTCATTCATTCTTCACCACCTATTCAAGTCATCAACATAGTTCGCTAATATTATAATGCAAAGTTTACAACCATAGTTCACTAATTCAAACTTCAAACCCCAAAGAGACTTTTAATCCAAATTTCTAACATCCATTTTGAACTCAATCCATAAATTAATCAAGATTCATAAATTTTATACAAAAAAAAAATTAGTGTCTTATTTAGACAAAACGACGTCGTTTCAGAAAAAAAAAAAACAGATTTTACACGTATCGGTCGTATCGTACCGATACGTATCGTGTATCGGACGATACGGTGCAAAAATGATACATAACTACGATTCGTATCGTTTTACCCAAGGTTCAAAGTATCGGCCGAGTCGGATACAACTCAGCCGAGTCGTATCCGCCTCGGCAGGCAGTGATACGATAACGATACACGATACAAGACTATCACGAGTCTACCATGAATCGGTTCTAACTCGAATTTGACTCGGTATAACTCGGACAAACTCGGCCCAACTCGGACAAACTTGGCCGATTCACTTTCAAATCGACCTAATACGCACAACAAAGAAAATGCCAAAAAAAAAAGGCAAAAAAAAGGAGGAATTGAACCCTAAATCATACCTCTTTCACCATAATAAAAACAAAAGAAGAACGAATAGATTACAAACCTGAAAATTTGTGGTAAATCTCCCCAATTAGAGACCCTTTTACACTAATTGTTCCTACTTTCCTTCTTCTTTGTAGTAGTAAATGACCCAAGTACAGAAACCGCGGATCAACGATCAACATCGCGGATCAATTGCAGAAACCCTTCGGACTACTCGAGTAGCAAGAGATCTAGCTTCAATGACGATGAGTCTCGAGTAGCAGAGACCCATTGTCTCTGTGCTCTCTCTCTCTCTCTCCCCTCTCTCTCTGTTTGCGTTGGTCGAAGTCCGACTGTCTGAGAGTTGGTGGGTTGAAGCTTTGCCTTATGAGACCCAAAAATTTAATTCCCTCCCCCCTTCTTTTTTTTTTTTTTGGTTTTAGCCCAAACTTTTTAATTATATAACTTTTAATATTTATCATATAATTTAATGAGAACTTAACTTCTTAAGTTTGTTTTTGTATATGTATTGATGATTTAATAATTAAATGTACATAATAGAGAAAATACATATAATCATCATACATAAAATACATATACATATAATCGATCTAATCAGATACATTATAAATAATTAAATGAAGAATTATACACTTATATTTTTTTTTATAATTTTTAAAAATTACAAATTAAATTATATTAACCTTGAATATAGAAGATAATAAATATTTTTCGGTAGCATCCTTATTATTCTTTTTTGAAATGATTAATGTGTTAAATAATGTCTTTTAGGGATATGATGCATTGATGATGATGTTTACATTTATTACAATTTTTTTTATTTTTTTTAATTTTTTTTGAGCCTTTTATATAGTGTTTTGTGCGTATCGGCCGATACTGTGCCGCGACCGGTGTGTCTCAGTGGCTTCCGAGTCAAGGGCCGATACCGCGACATTGAACCATGGTTTTACCTCCGTATCGTACGATACTAACAACTATGTCTACAACTAGCTAGTCATGTCTATTTACAACTAGTGTTCTAATACGATGTATCTTTCTTTACTTTCTATCTTATAATATGAAATGTAAATTACCTATAAAGCAGAGCTAAAACATATATTTAATTGTTAAAATTAAGGCTAATTTTGGAAAGCAATGTGAAATTAAATATCACTGGGAAGTGTAAATAGGATGGTTTTGAGAAGTTCTCCCAAGAGACTTCTCTAGAATGAGCGTTTTGAAGATGCACTTTTTGATAAGTCCAAATTTTTCTGGACACAAAACAATCTTATCTCTTTGAGAAGTGTTTGCATCCATGTGATGGACTTTTTAGTTGTCCGCCAAACATACTAGTGATATTTCTTAAGCATATTCTTTTCTTTTCCATTCCTTCTATTTTGAACTCCTTCAATAGATCTGACCTTATATATCAACCCCTTCTATGATGATATTTCTAGTAATTCTAATAATGATGACATGCTCACTTCTGATATACGTTATTCATCTGAATCTTCTACTTCGTCTCAATCTCCAGTGGTGTCCCCTCCTATTTTCCACATTTATTTTCACCGGAACAAAACTAACTCATGTAGGTACAACTCATTTACCTCATCTTCGTCGGCCTTTGATGATGTGGATCCTTTCTTTTCTTGCTATCCTAAGTGCATTCGTAAGTGTCCTGATCGCTTTGGTTTTTCTAACAGTTGTTATTCTTTTGATTTTTGTTCATTTTTATCTTCCATTCATTCTTTGTCTAAGCCTACCTTCTATACGGAGGGTGCTCTTGATCCTCTTTGATAGAAGGCTATGAATGAAGAACTTTTCGTACTACATAAAACTGAGACATGGGATCCTGTGCTTTTACCTATTGAAAACCAAGTTGTTCATTGTTGATGGGTATATAAGATTAAGCCAAAGTCGATGGTTTTATTGAAAGATATAAAACTAGATTAGTTGCTAACGGTTTTGCACATGAATATAACATTGATTACGAGGAGACGTTTGCTCCTGTTGCAAGGATAATAATTGTTCGTATATTAATTGTTGAAGTAACTATTCGCTAGTGAATATTATTTCAGATGGATGTCAAGAATATTTTTTTGACGGTGAATTGGCAAAAGAGGATTATATGGTTCCTTCTCTTGGTCTCTCTCACATTCTAGATGAGGTATGTACGCTCAGAAAAGTTTTGTATGGTCATAAACAGGTCGAGCTTGGTTTGAGAAGTTCTTTACTGTAATCTTTGACTTGGATTTTCGTTCAAGTGATCATAATTCTGTTATTTTCCTTCATTCTTTTTTCTGGTCAAATTGTTCTCCTCTAAAATGTTGATGATATGATTATTACCAAGGATGATCGAGGGAATTTTAGTATTGAAGGCTCAGTTACAACAACAGTTTGAAATGAAGGATCTTGGTCCCCTTTGATATTTTTTTGGATATTGAAGTGGCTTCGTCTTCGAAAGTTTATCTTATTTCTTAGTCAAAATATACAACTTATATTATCCATAGGCCCAGTTAACAAATTCTTGGACTGTTGAGACTCCTCTTGAGCTCAATATGCACTACACTTCTGTTGATGAAGTCCTTTTGGTTGATCCTATCTTGAATCGGGTTCTTGTTGCCAGCCTAGTCTATCTCACATTTACACATCCTGATATAACATATGCCATTCATATTGTGAAGTCAATTTGTCTATTCTCTAACAACAATGCACTGGACTACAGTTAGGGTTTTGAAAAACTCCCGTTACAAATCGGAAGGCGTCGATACCGTTACAGGCCGATATATCGGGGAGAAAGAAATTCATGTTCGTAACGGCCGTTACCGGATCATAACAGATCTGTAACAGGCCGTTATCGGATCATAACGGGTCGACCCGTGATAGCTTTGCATTGTTTTGTCTAATTTTTCTAAAAAATCGTGAGAATTTTTACAAAAAAAACCCCAAATTACAAGCCATGCTGAGATAAAGGCTACAATCTTCAATCAAATCAATTTGTTTGGTAAGAAAATCTTGACAAAATATCATAAATCGATGAAGCTCATCAATCAATAACAGTATCACTCTCTTGTCGGTAGCAGCACTAATTTCTCCACCCTCATTTTGAAGCGTCAATTTGTTGATGAAAAACCATTGTCAAAGATTGTTATGATCTTAGGGAAGAAAAAGCTCGCTAATGGTCCACAGTTTCTTCTTCCCTCTATGGATAAGTAAAAGCTTATTGGAGCGAACAATGGTAGAAGACGAGAGACAGAAAATGTATAATACAAAAGTTTGGAACTTCTGCAAAACTGCCACAAAACCTACTGGTTTTGGTTCCAGTTCAAAAAAAAAAAAAGATGAGGGTTTTGGTTGTGAAATGAATAAGGATGCCACCTGGAACTTACCTATATACGAGTTGTACTTGAATGGAATGGAACTATTGCTCCACAATTGTTTTGCAAAAAAGAAGTGGGTCGGGACCTTGGTCAATTGGAAAATGGGTCTAGGCTGGTCCATTGGATTAAAAAATTTTCTATTTTTTTTATTGTTTTCGATTAATTTTTTCTTCCCTCTTGGCTTAAGATCAGTAAAAAAATAAATTGTAAACCACTAAAAAAAACCTATATATAAATATTTTTGAAGTTGAAACATGCATAACCTCATTTTTAGGTAGAGTTGTGAATAGAAAATTAAAATTCACGACCTCGGTATCCGTTACCGTTATGTAGCGCCCATCACAACTTGCGTCCGTTACAACGTTAACGTTACCGTTACGATAACCGTTACCATTATTCAGAACCATGACTACAGTTCTTCGCATTTTACGCTATCTCATAGGCACTTTACATTAGTGTTCGTTGTTTTCTTCCACTTTGCTATGGAGCTAAGTTCTTGTCCTCATGTTGATTGGGCAGGAGATGCCATGGATCATAAATCCACCACTGATTTCTGTGTCTTTTTAAATGATTCTCTTATTTCCTAAAAAAGCAAGAAGCAAACAGTTGTTGCTTGTTCTACTACTGAAGATGAATATTGTGCTATGACTACTTTCGGAGATAGATTGGTTGAGATGGTTACTTGTCGATCTAGGTATTTCTTTTTCTAGACCTATTCCTATGTATTCTGACAACAAAAGTGTCATTCAGATTGCACACAACTCTGTTTTTTATGAATGGGTCAAGTATATTTAGATTGACTATCACTTTGTACGTCACCATCTTCATAGCTTGGGACTATTTCTTTGCCATTTATTTCTTTCACTATGCAATTAGTAGACTTCTTCACGAAGTCCCACACCTCAATGCATTTTCGTTTTCTTCTTAACAAACTTTCGATCCTTCTTACCGTCACATCATGAGTTTGAAAGAGACTACTAAGATTATAATTATATTTATTTATCATTTAGGGCAGTCGAGTTTTTTCCCTTAATGTAGGGTTCCTTATATATAATCTCTTGTACTCACTTTTTATTATTATGGTATATTAGAGTGTCGCATATGGTTTTTCTCTTCTTCTATCCTCTCCATGTGTGACTTCTTTTCTTTACGTTAGTTGTTCTATATTTTCACATCCAATGTCTCATATGAATGTTTGGCCCCAACTTCTTATATCTGACAAAAAGCTTTTGGTTTCCTTTAAGTACATCCCTCAACCCAAGGTCCCCGACACATTCATCGAGAATAATTCGTTCTTTGAGCATTCTGTGGTGATGTAAACTGTCTCAGTCAACAGTTATTTTCACAACATGTGAACTAGTGAAATTAGAAGGCCAACATGGATGGCTAGCAAAAAATATAAAGATGGAAACACAATTGTCCACATCCATTAATGTTAGAGGTGGCATCAGTTAAGGACCAAGTGAGGCTGCGTTTTTCTTTTTTTTTGGATAGAGATCAGAACTCTAGAGCCATAAGGGGAGCAAACCCTGGGGCCAAGGATGTTAACGTGGTTCCACCTATGTATAGGCTCAAATCATGAAGCTTAGCTTATCAAAAAAGGGGGCATGGGTTCAAGTTGAGAGGAACATTGACAAAGCCAATATTTTGGCAGTGTTAAATCATCCAACCCAAATCCAATTGCTAATGAGCAAAGAGGTCTAATGGCCCATTCTAAGAAAATAACTTATTACTAATTCTAACAACCACTACTCTACCAACTTACTAGTCTTTTCACACAGGTACCTAAGCCCATTTTTGGACGCTTATGCAGTGTCTTAGTATATTGCGTTGTCACTCGCCAACCAAACATTGATCCGACAAATGCAGCTATCAGCAGCACCCAAAGTCAGTATAACATAGCAGACTTTGAATTTGTTTCCCAGCAAAGATGGTCAGCATTCATATCCAAGATACAAACATATATTAGTTAAAAGCTGCCATGCTTGCTCCCTAGAGCAGCAGTTTAATCCTCATTACACAAATTCCAATTATTAATTGCCATTAAAAGTGCTGGCTAACTGGAAAAACAGTGTATATTTCATTCCAAATTAAAGGTCAAATTTATTTTTTCTCCACAAAATAGAGAACAGCAACTGTCAGCACAACTTCCAAAATCCAGCTCTTGTCATCAAAATTATCAGAGTATTTCAAGAAAGATGATAGTGTTTGTACTTAGCCTATCTAGAATATGGCCAGTTTGTCCTTCAGTCCTCAAAGAAACTCTTCACTGTTCTTAAGATGTTCCAATCCACACACTCCACATAAAATTTTCTCACTTGGAATCCCTTTTACTTGTTTCAATTTCAAATGACCAGTTTTTCATTCTACCTTTTGTCACTTGCTCCTTGAGCTCCCATTCTCTTCCAATATTCCATAAAACCATTTGAAACAATGTTAGTATGGTATTGGGTATTATTTTTTTTTTTTTGGATAGGAAACAAAACTCTCATTGATTAAGAAGGGTGAACATAAGAGGTGGACAAGAAATCAGCCCATACACTTGCAATCCTTTCTTTTTCATAGGTTATCCACACCCTCCAAATGAAATTAAATACCATCAAATTCCACAATTTCTAGAATCTGTGACTCCATATTCAGTGTTGACTTCTACATTGATGGCAAGCATTAGTTGTGTAACTGCAATATGCCTAATGAGGTATCAGTTTGTTACACCTGATTGCTATTATGCCTTTTTTATGAAATCCCTAATAATAGCATTATTAAGTAGCATACTCACATTTCTATGTTTGACTGCTTTGGCTACAGGTTGGGGGACTATTCTAGTTGCACAAAATAATTTATCCCTAAATTTTAACAGAATACAAACGGTTAATGTTGCTAATGCCTATTCATAGGCTTGGCAATTTCAAACAAGTTCTGTGAAATTCACACAAATCGACACAAAATCAGTGGGTTTAGGTTTATTTTAGGTGATAAACGGGTGGGCTCGTCCGACCCGTTGAATAAATGAGTCATTCTCGGGAGGAACACCATAATCCGTTTATCACCCGCCAACCTATTTAAATCCAAGTATAAAAACAAAAAACCCAAACCAATTTCTCACTATCAAATCTTTTGTTCGTCTCACTCTCCTCAGCCCCCCTCCCCCTCTCAAAGCATTCTCACAGATCTCTTATCACTGACAGATTTCTCTATCTTGGTCTCTCCCTCAGACCTTGCACTCTCTCTCTTTGCCTCAAACTCTCTTAGATCTCACAAATCTCTCATCTCTTACTCTCGGCTTCCGACACTCTCGTTTCATCTGGGGTATGGTTGTGGTTTGATGGTTGTGGGTATAGCAGTTGCTTGGTGGGTGGTGCCACTGGTGGTAGGTTCACTGAAACACACACAAGCTGCTTGTAACCCTAGGCTTGTTTCTTGTTTTGCAATTGGTCATGCAAAGTGTTCATCAAGAGTAGCCTGCACTCAATGATGCGATTTTGATATATTCTCTTGTTCCTTGTCCGGTTTGCTCAATGATGAAATTTTGTGTGTTGTTCTCAATTTGGGTGGATTCAATGTGTATCACATTAAGACCCAACACTAACCCGCTTAACACGACCCAATTGCCAGACCTACCTATTTATCAGGCTGGTAAAAGAACGTTTCCCTAGTAGGACACCTGAGCAAAGAGGTGATAAAAGGGATTTGTAGCCAAGATTTTGTCAAGCCCATAAGGAAATACCTAAGTTGTTGTTCCTTCAGCACAGGGCTTGGCCATTGACTCATTGCAACCCCCATACTCGATGAAGACATCTGAACTATTGCATCAAGACCTTGAATGCCACTACCATTGTTAACGAGGAAAATACACATTGTAATTTTTTATGAAATTGTGTCATATTATGAGCAGATGTCAAAATGAAAGGTAATGAAATAAAACAAAGCATGGAGAGAATACAAAAAGTACCTCTGCAAGGAGGCCGCTGATTTGGTTGTCAGATTTTGTTAGTAGATCCAAGGCATCTGATAGCGACGAATTTATGATAAATTTATCTTGATTTTCAGAGAATAAGATACTGCTGCACTCTTGAAGCCGGTTGCGAAGAATCTCACATTCAAGAAGCAGCTTCCTACGAGCACTTTTTGCATGCTCACTTCTTCGCTTTTCCTGTTGAAAGAGTTTCTGGAAATAGACACAGAATTTCACCAAGAGAAGAAAAAGTTATCCAACATGAAGTAAGTTGTCCATGTATAGGCATCAAAAAGAGGATTAACATATAAAATAAAAAATATGATAACCAAACCTCTAAATTCTCTTATACCGGCTAAGTATGAAAGAGGCAGAACCTTACAGCCCAGGAGTTAGAAGGGCAATGCTTAGTAAATTCAAGAATCAAACAAAAATATTGTTTAGGAAAGCCTAAATGAAAGAACCTTAGACCAATATGATATATTTCTTTGCAACTTAGTTGGCTTTCAAGTCCCCAAATTCACCAAAACTCGCAACAGCTTTGACTCCATACAGTATGAAAAATACTTTGAACAGAAAAATGATAATGAATTGCTTGCTTTGCTGGAATAACAGACTACCTCTGCCTCAGATTTTTCCTTAAGCGATTGATCAAGCTGCTGTCTCAATTCGCCTTGAGAACTTCTGAGAGATTTAACCTCTCTAACAAGAACTCTAATATCTGCTTTTGATTTTGCTTCTAGTTCTTGATGGTGCTTCAGCAAGTCCTCAAGCTTCTGCTTACTGGGATGCAACTCCGTAGATGGCTTTTCATCCTGAAATGGTTTTGCATGTTACTCATGAAATAGTCACAATACTTGATTGAGGAGACAAGAATGATAGTCAAGGAAAACAAGCGACATGAAAATATAAACAACCTTTTGAGACTTCAATTTCAACTCCATTTCCAATGACTTTTGCCGAAGTTCCTCCATATCCCACTGCATTTGGGTAAATCTTTCCCTTTCAATCAAAATAGCCTGCTGAAGGTTTTCTTTACTTTTCTGCTTAGTGGTTTCAAGTTCCACTTCCAAATCCTTGACCTGGGTAGAGGCAATTAGTTATTGTGTTATATCTAGATAATTGATTTTGGACACAGAAAACATATAACTGTTAAAATTTAAATGAACATTATTAGGTAACAAATAAGGTTTGCTTTGTTTTGCTACCTAACACATTCCCAAATGCCAAAGCACCATTCATCTCATGAGTTAGCTGGGAACCATCACACCGCTTCCATTGATACTTGAAGAAGGCTCCAAAATACTGCCTCTAACCATTTTATGTGATGGGATTATTTGGTGTCAGAGGAGTTAACACTGGGAATTCATTCCATTTCATATAAAAGAGCTGCTCACAAGAACGGTTGCAATTGAACTAGAGGCATGGTGAAGGATTTCTTACAATAAAAAAGGATTAGTTTGAGTTGTTATAATAGCTCGAAAATATAAATAGAATCTGGTAACTCCAAATTTAAGCTTCTTGTTGCTACAAACAGTTTCCTTAAGTTATACATCTGCTATATCTAACATCCTACCATCATTGGTCTCCTCCCAGTTTAGAGTACTCGTCCAACCAAGTTTTCATCATGATGATGTCAATAGGATGAGTTGTTAAAAATATGCCTCAAATTCCTAATTCAGTACTAATCCTAATGCTGATGAACCAAACCATTGGCTCACTCTTGGAAATCAGGTTCTTGGCTAGGCACCTAGTCTAAGATCCAATGAATCTACTAGATAAGAATCTGATGCTATTTATACCAGTCATGAATTTAGTTGAACTTTGCATAGTAGAGCCCATGACCATCCCTTTGGATTTACCTCGCATGGCTTCACTCAATTTCTCCCCTAAGACTCATGACGATTTCCCCTCGTTATCTAAATGTACTACATTCTTACCCAACACCCTAAAACAATAACATGATTTTGATCTTGCACAGTAAGATTGTGAGGAGGCAAGCAAAAGACAAGGAGAAAAACCAAGATGCCAAGCTTTGTGTTCCTCCTCAATTTTCATCTCAGAATTCAACAAATGACTAATGACTTATTGGAGATGATAAGCCAAGGTGGAAATGGTGGGAAAATTTTAAATTCTATTCTCTTTATATCACGAGTGCCACAGTTGCGAATAAATTGGTCACTAATATAGTAAAGGAACAAGATTTCTTGAACCTGCCATATGTTGTTTGTACGCATTCTGCTTGTATGTTCCCTTGAAAACCAAATGCATCAGGGCACTCAATCCTGAAGGAGAAATTTGATGCAGGAAAAGCTTCAAGGCCCCGGGCCACTTTTGATCTGCATCATGATTCCCTAAATGGCCTAAACCCTTCCCTCCATGAATTTTGCAACTCATTAAATCATAAGGGGAGGCAATATGTTTCAACTGTTATCAATAAATCCAAATGTGTCGAAAACATTTCACCAACTATGAGTAATCAGGAATAGAATATCAAGGGAAATTCCAAGAATTTGCCAATCTACCATGAAATGGTATAAACCCTTGTCCTTCATAAATACCGAAACAGAGGAATAAAAAAATCAAAATTTCTGCCAGATCCCCAAGTCAATGTTCACCTGTTTGAGGTGATCCAACAAGCTTACAATGCTTGATTAAGCTTCTGATGATGATAATGCTAGACTTCTAAGTAGAGGATCTGCTGAATCTTTATGTAAAATGAGGACAGAACTTTCTACAGGGCACTTTTATCCTACTTATTTAGACATTCTTCTCGTTTTGCTTGCTGCAGTATTTTCATTCTTTTGCTGTTTTGTCTTAAAGGATATCTCATTCTTCCTCTAATCGTTTCTTCCCTTCCATAAATCTAGTTTATGATAATATAATAATATATGTTGCAAATGGACTTATTGTGCAATTCATGATTCTCTGTGTTTATGACCAGAATTTGTTTCCCAAATTTTCTGTCTTACATTTTTTTTTTTGTAACTAGATTTTTGTCTTACACTTGGTTTACTTTAAAAACATGAAATTTTTATGCAAACATATATATATATATATATATATTTTCTCGTTTTGTCAACTAAAATTATTCATCATCAAGCAACATAAATTATGGATAACTCCCTGGTTATGCCTAATAAATTAGTCCATTATGCAAACATACAACAGTTTAGTAATGATCGTGATGTAGGACAACAAACAAACAAAAAAAACAGCACTCTTATGAGACTATGAACAAAAGTTGTGAACAATATTGTAGGGGATAATCGTGTCAATCTGTGTGCTAGGGTTAGATAAATTAAAGGGGAAAGGTGTGGGGGGTTGTAGATGGTGTTTAAGGGTATAACTATGAATATATCAGGTCTAGTGAAGGTGTTTAGTACTTGGATACTTGCAGAAAATTTAAAGAAGAAGAAAAGAAAACTAAGAATCACTCCTAGGGTTTCTTAGGTTTCACACCTAGGGTTTTGAATTGCATTATACAATCCTAAAAGTATATCATTTCTGAAAATTCTGAAAAATATCTCTCTTTTTAATTAAACCATTACATCTCTATATATAGACTACTAATGAAAAATTTGATTCAAGAAGAGGAAAGATAAGAGAAAAGAGAGAGAGAGGAATTGTATTTGCCACATTAGTCTGGTAACAATATAACAACAAAAATAAAAATAAAGAATAGAAACCATCTATAGTAAGGCAAAACACAATCGGAAAATAACTAAACTACCCCTAATACAAAATACTCTCTATCATCCCTCTCAAACTCACGATATTGCAAAAAAAACATCATGAGTTTGCCAAGAAGAAAATAGAATTGTAAAATGGTATAAGACTTTGTAAAGAAATCTACACAAAATGACAATCAATCTCATTATGTTTTGTACGCTCATGGAATGCATAATTATGGGCAATCTAAATTGCACTCATGTTGTTACAATATATAGGGGTAGGAGTAGACAAAAAGATGCTATGATCAACAAGTAACCATCGCAACCATACTATCTCTGTTGTGCTGGAATCCATAGCACGATCCTCAACCTCAGGAGATGAACGAGCAACTACAATTTGTTTTTTTACTCTTCCAGGAAATAAGAAAATTACCAATAAAAAGTCACTATCCATAGAATCGCTAGCCCAGTTAGTCAGCATCAAAATAAGTTTTGAGTCCCAAAGAAGAGGAGAAAAGTAAACTTTGGTACAAAGTACCCCGAAGATTGCGAAGAATTTGAATAATAACAACTTAGTGAATAGTGGTAGGTAAAGTAACAAACTGACTAACAATATTAATTGCATAAGAGATGTCTAGACGAGTAAGTGTAAGATAAACCAAACTATCTTCGCTATGGTGGAAGCGTTAAAATGACCCTCAGTTTCAAAAGATGAACGAGCAACTACAGTTTGGTTTTTACTCTTCTGGAAAATAAGAGAATTACCGATAAAAAGACAGAAAGTAATGGTAGACTTGCTATCTGTAAAGTCGTCAGCCCAGTCAATACCAGAATAAGTACGGAGTTCCAACAAAGAGGAGAAAAATAATAGACTTTAGTATAGAGTACCCCAAAGATAGCGAAGAATTCAAATAACAGCTGCCTAGTGAATAATGGTACGTGAAGTAACAAGCTAACTAACAATATTAACTGCATATGAAATGTCTGGACGAATAACTAAATGATAAACCAAACTGACAACAATGGCGCAGTCTATTAGAGAATATTTTAGTATTAGGAGTAGTTTAGTTATTTTCCGGTAGTTTTGCCCTACTATAAAAAGTTTTGATTCTGCATCTTTTATCATTATGTTGTTAGCAAAGTATCGTGGCAATAATACAATTCTTCTCTCTTTTCTCTTTTCTTTCCTTTTCTTGAATCAAAGTTTTCATGATATTAGAGCGGAGTTTCAATTCTTAAACACAACTACAAAATAACTAAATTACCTCTAATAATAAAATACTCTCTAAAAACTATGATCCATTACAACAAATTTAAAAAATTACAAAAATACATCTGACTCTAGAACCATAAAAAGAGAGACCTAAAATAAAAGTTTCAACAAACCAACTTAAAGTTAATCAAAAATAGCACCCAAACATATTCAAATACAATCGTGTAAGGTTCCATGTGGGTTCCTACCTAATAGGCTAATGTATTTTAGGTCAAATAGATTTTAACATCTTTGAATTTATTTCTCCTTGAGCATCTTATAGACAACGTCAGATCCTTAATGTAAATCTTCCATTGAAATTCACTTGCTTTTCTTTCCAGTATTTTCATACTAATCTCTACTCCATCGTGCATGTCCTTAAGTAGATTGGCATGCATGGATAATCCTCCTCTTTTCCTTACCCCCCCCCCCCCAAAAAAAAAAAAAAACCCAACCCCACCTCTATATCCCTTCAACATTATCTACGGAAAGAATTATATTACTTGCTTTCTGAAGTTTATGGATTGGCTTTCGAAACTCAATGACAACCATAGATTGGTAAAAGGGAATGGGAGGAGAAATCTTGCGAAATACCAATAGAATCGCATCCAAAGAGTCACATAATTAACTTTCACTATGTTTAAGGTGATAGACAATATATTTTGGGCACATGATACATGAATATTATTTTTTACATTTTCTTGTATTTTTCATGACTTTTCCAAAAAAAATTAGGCCCTCTATTTATCTGAGCGTATCGGCAGATATCGCGTCACGACTCCGTGACTGACGTGTATCAATATCTTCCAAGTTGATGGCCAATACCACGATGTTCAACAATGTTCAACATTACCAATTTTTAGTCTTCTTGTATTGATCATTAAGTTATAATTAACAAGTGATAATCAGGCAAAAACTTCATCTGAAATTTGTATACAATTCATAACCAATGTATCTGCTGCAATAGCTTGTACCTAGAAGAGCACAAACTTACCTTTGTAGATAGGTAATCTTTCACAGCTATTTCTTGATTTAATCTTGATATAAGATCCTCCATGTCTGTTTTTGAGGTAACCAACCTCCGTTGCATCGTCAAAAGAATTCTGTTCATTTTCTGACGCTGATCTAATGGAAGAATCACATGTACATCACTTGGAAACTGTAAATCTAGGTTGCTTGAAATTTCCATGGTTCTAGAAACCTCAGCATCTCTAGGAAGGTCGAGGGGGCCATCCGCAAATGAATTGGGAAATGCCGAATTTGATGCTTCACTACCTTTTTGAGAACTCATGTCACTTCCAATACTCTCAGTTGAAAGCTTTCGGGCATGATGAATTAACCTACCTTGCTCTGGTTCAGGCAAGATTTCCCTTGTATCTCCAGCAAAATAAGAAGCTTTAGAAGTGATTCCATTATTTGTGTAATTCTCTATAACATTATTAATCTTTCTGGCATGCACTTTATGTCTTGGAAAACCTTCAAGCTGCTCTAAAATAGCTTGTCCCATAAACAAGCCCTCGTCAATATTGGACATGCCATATTTCGCAAGCTTTTCTATTGAACTTGTCAAATCTTCATCCAGTGACAGATCCTCCGTTCCATCTTCAGAATTGTTATCCCTTCCAAGGCTTGGTGTTCCAACCTCAGATGTCTCAAAGGCAGTATCACTACCATAATCTGATGCAAGTGATGTACCACCAGACACCACAGATATGCTTGAATTGGGATGTGCTTGTAATGAAGAAATTGTGCTGTTGCCGGAAGCATTTGCTTCTGAAACATTCTGGCTTTTATCTTGGAATGCTGAAAAGAACACACAGTTTAATAAAAAGTCAAAACCCTAATTCATACGAAACTAAACTTAAACAAGGGTGAGAGAATATTAGGCTAACATATTTAATAGCCCTAAGATTCAAAAAGATCTCCCATTTGGATTCAGAAAAACAAATTCTAAAGTATATGTAGTGCATTAAATACACATACAAGACCTAGCAGCAGCTTCAAGTTCAAGGAAAGATGCCACTGCAATGCTTCTTGATAAATCAATGTCAGAAAGTAGCTTTGACATCCAGTCCTCCAAAGAACACCGCCTCTGCAACAAAAGTAACCCTTTTGATATCTTAATTAATGATACAAAACTGCAGAATCAGTATTTAGTTACCTGAAAAGCATGTTCAGTCAATGTCATACAAAAGAAAAGCAAAACCTTATTTCAGACACATGTACAATAGTGCCATGCATGCGTTAACAATTCTCATCAACTCCCAGCAACTAATCCAACTGGCAGAGCAACCGAAGTCATGCTTTGTTCAAGTGGCAATGAAAAAGGTAAGTATAATTAAAATACAAATGTAGCCATAAATTGCACCACATTAAAAATTTAGGCCTAGAATTGAATCCATTTTTGACAGCAGTAATCATAGCAGATATTCACATAAAGCCTCTGTGATGTAGATCACATTAGGACTGATACCAAATTGATGTAGACTAAGAAGGGAAGAATTACGGATGAGACGAGAAGAAGAAAGGGATGAGAAAAGACAAAGAATTTGAGGAAGCAATATTAGCATTCAATAATAATCAATAATAATCAAAGTCTGCCAAAATAAATACCATATCCCCTATCTATATAAGGAGAGCACAAACCCTAAAATAAATAAATAGTCAAAATGACAACTAAGTCCTTGAAAAGCAAATGACAACTAAGCCCTTGAAAAGCAAAATGACAAATAACTTCTAATCCTTACGTCTACGCCTATTATAATGAAATATAATCCAATTCCTATCACTCAGTCACTTAAAAAGCCCTGCAACTTGAGAATTTCATTCTCTTGGTGACAAGTCTGTTTTAAGAATTGTCCTATCCCAGATGCCAACTTAGAGAGGTCTATTAATCATTCAATCTGCAATACAACTAGTTAAGGAAAGTAAGACGTAAAACCGACTACCTCGTCCAACAGAGCCCTGCTTTTCATTCGTAAGAGTCCCTTTGGTGGAGCTGGTGGGAGATTCTTCCGGGGAAATGCCTTTTTGAGCTGTAAAAGAGAGTCACTTCTAACATGATGGTGCCCAAATCAATTCACGTTATGGTATGAAAAGAAAAAAGCTAGTCTATTTGAGCAATGACGACGGTGCAAACATATCATCACTCTTCCATTTGTACACACACACACACGACTTACTGCAGCAAATAACTTCAAGAAATCATTAAATCTTCTTAATACTGCTCTTGTAGCTGTAACCCCTTCTGGTGATTGTATTCCAACCAGAACCCTGTAAAACTGTTCTTTAAGAATGTTAAGACAGTATTAAAAGAATTATATGATCATATTGATATGGACTTAAATATTAACTTAATTATTAGAAGAAAAGTGTCATTCTCATTCCTAGAAGACGTCATACATTAACTTTGATCCTACCTTACAGCAAGGGCCTTATAAATATAATGCAGAAAGCTATAAATACCCAAATGAACCTACTAAAGGTTGCTCTGTTTTCTAAGCTCTAGTGGCTCAATCGCAGCAGTAGAAAAGCCTCCCAACTCAACTTAGAGAAGGATTCCTCATAGTTACAAATTCAACAAAAAAAATTCCCTTCTACTTTACCCTGTAGCAGCATTTATCACCACAAAATATTGGAGACTTGCCGGAAGTCGACAAAGGCTATATGATGACAACAATTAATTCCACCCTTATTCCAAAACAGAAAAGCATGCCTCCAGCTTCCAAATCTCATAGTAATTGTCATTGAATTACAATCAGAGAATTATATTATATGAAAGGGAGATAGTATACTTGACTGTGCATAGTAGGAAACAGAAGCAATGTTGAAAAAGAGAATTAAAACAATACCAAGCAAATTAAACCCTATAAATTAATCTAGCTAAAGGACAAAGTCTTTTAGTTCCAAGTTTCCAACATAGAAACATCAAACATGACAATGAATAAAATGGTATTATTCACCTCACTTATTTGATTCCAAAATCAACAAGATTCCTTTATAATTAGCTAACAATTCAGCAAGACTAAATAACATGAAAACATGTAGTTGTCCATATCTTGCAAGTAAATTCATGAATACTGTCAAATGCCAAAAGGTGGCAAATACCCATCATCTAATCCTTTGCATAAATAAACATTCAAGAGTCGTTCAATTTGAATACCACAACAGGATCTGAATCTCTTGATTTCGGAAGAACAACCCAAGAAGGAATTGCAACACAATAACTCCATCCTGTGTGAGGATCATGTGGCCAAACGGTATCCTGCCCAATCTACAAAAAAAAGAAGACAAATTTATCAATAAGAACTATAATTAGAACCGGGGTACAACTTACAAGATAGCAGAATACTCTAATCAACATAAGAAACAAATGAGGTCCATCTATTGCCTTAATTTTAAAAAGTATTCAACAAATTTAAAACCACCTCTGCCACCATAGAACAATAGATATAGAAACTGGGTTGGAGTACAATTTTCAATGAAAACTTCCGATATAAACATCGCTGCATTAGTTACAAGGTAAAGGAGGCCTAAATCCAAAGGAACTTTGAAAAAGAGTGCTGCATAAATATGACCAGAGTATTAATACTACCTAACCTCTGAACGAGCTTGATTTCTTTCCATGGTCAATTGCACTTTGTCATCTGGCTTTTATAATAATCTCCATCAAAAAGCCATCTACTTACTAATACTTTAATAGCTAAGATAAATCTAACTACAAAACTATTTGATTCAAGATAATTTGTAGCTTTTTGCAGTTATTGATACTTGTCAACTACATCAAAATTAAACAAAGAACTACACTCTTCACAAACCACTGTCGAAGCCATAATAGGACTAAATGTGCAATAACCCCCCTTAGTTCTGGTTCTGTTTCGTATCAAGTAGGGCTCCTTTGTTTGGCGCATCCCACTTATCTCTTATCTCACTTTGGAAATTATGTCCTTTAACTTTCGTTAATTTAAAAATGCTATTACGTTCAATTGTTTTTGATATGGCCCCTCTCGACCCCATATTGTGTAGACTCTTACTTGGCTCCCTAGGCATTAATTCTTGGCTTTACCCCTCTCAAATGGAAGGAACCAAGATAAATATACTACCAAAAGTATTTCGAAAGGACATGCCTTCAAACATTATTCCTTCAAGTTAACATTGTTTTTGGAAATCTTGCTCATCTCAAATTTGATTTTTATATACGCTTTGAGAATCAAAATTTGGATGACGGATAAAAAATAGGAGAAACTAGGAAATAATCATTTACTTTTACCTCAAGTAGAATCACAGACGATGACCTTATTAACTAGGATATAGATTTTACCTCATTAAATTGTTAAAGGTGGTCAATAAAGCTCTACTAAAGTGTTCAACCTCCTCACTTATCAGTCAAGTTGTGCGTTCAGATGATCCAAATGCCTTCCATGAGCACTTCTGTAAATAAATCAACCCAATACAAGTGCAGCTTTCTGACTATGGATGAAAACCTTTTGTCCCAACTTCAAACTTTCCACACCCCCCCCCCAACCCCCAACCCAAAAAAAAAAAACCCACCCACCTAGACACCCAAACAACTACTCAAGTGCATGAAAAAGAAATGTGGCCCGCCCTTTGCAATATTTTATGGGGAATTAATGTTCCCAAAATCCAAATGTAGAACAATTTTTTGGGCTTCACTTCTAAAGCATGGTACGAGAGAAAAAAATGATTAGGATAATAAGTGTGAGGTTCCGGCATTCAAATTTGCAGTAACTAATGCCTAATGTTGGTGTTGTACCCTTTCCATCCCTGTCGGCCCCCTCGACTGAGAGAGACCGAACTAGGCAATGACCCTTTTACTTCTAAAGCAACGGCCTTTACACTTAAAAGAGCTGATGATCAGCTCACAACCTGTATTTGGTGTTTTACCCGGTCCATTCTAAAGCAATGGCCTTTACACCTAAAGAGCTGATGATCAGCTCACAACCAGCATTTTCTAGAAAAATGCACAATCAACTGAAAAAAATCAAGCACACTAATATACAGTCAAGTCTGCCAGATCACACAATACACTTTTCAGCAGTAAGCAATTGCATTAGCTGGTCTCTTTCGTTGCGAAAATATAATGATCGCGAAATTAAACAAGTGAAATTCAATTTTCTTTGTCACAAAAAAATTCGATCAAGCAATCAAATAATCTTCTAGTACAATGAACTAAAAGTACAAAATCATAAAATTTCTTCAGAATATACTACATTCCAATAAATTTCAGGGAAATTGATCATACCCATTTACGGGGCGGAGGACTCCAATCCATACCCAGAGGCAAAGGCGAAGTCCCATCGTGTCTGTGCTTCGGAGGACTTTGCCTCTGCATAATTCAATCTCTCTCTCTCTCTGTGTAAATCTCAAACTTTATCTCTCTAAAACCCACTTTCTCTATCTAGAACTCAAGGTAATATTGACGGGAAAGAAGGGTCTCGGTGATCGGATCAGAGGACAGACCTAACCCCAGTATCAAGAAGAAGAAGACGACTCGGAGGTGGACAGGTGGTTGAGTCTGCAAATTCGTGCTTGCCTTGTGATGATCACCCCCAATTCGGCGCAGGATAAAAACGTTTACGTTGGACGTGGCTAAAAGGAGCCAAAGAGTGTCACGTGCTCCGTTGCTTCCCTCTACCTGATAGGGTTTTGTGTCACAGTTTAGAATCTAGGTGTAACTAAAACACTTATACTTACAATTACATCAACACACATAAAAATATAATTCTGACTTGTAGAGATATCTCATAATTAAAAAGACCTCTTTTAGTCATCTTATGTAAGCTGCATGGCTAGCTATTAATGAATTGGAATAAACAGCAACTTAATAACATTGTTGAATGACTTTTTTTTTTTTTGTTATAGGGTATTTAGAGTTGTACTGACTAATTCTTTGTTCAACGGTGGGTCACTGTGGCTTTAGTTAAATTAGAGTATATCTCTAAAAGGATATAATGAGGTAGTGTGGAAAAGAATTGAACCTGAGACATCTGAACTATCAACGGTCAGATTTAATCACTAAACCAACCCAAAAAGTTTAATCGAATGATTCTTATATTCAATTACATCCTCCCAATTTTTTCAATTACCGGAACTAAACCAATTAATGAACATTTATTGCCATAGTGGGAAAATTTAAGGTATCCAAAAAAAAAATTAGTATCGATACCGTCAAATACTACTTTGTATGGTAAAAATTATAAATTTAAAAATAGAAATTATAACTACTGAAGAGAGGTCATGATCAATCATAGACACCCATAATCAATCATGAAAATTGCAATATCTATCAAAATGTTTCATGACCGATCATGATCTTTGAAGTTGTATTTTACTCCTCAAAAAAATTATAATTTTTAGTACTAATACCACTGACGATACCATATCATTTCCCTCTTATTTAAGGCAAAGGATAGTGTCAAGTTGGTTTTTGTTTTTGTAGGTAAATATTTTTGAGTTGACTGCCATACGTTGCAGAAGCTTTTCGGTATGACACCATAAAGCTTTTGCCGGCAAAAGGCTACATTTTGGCTATAGAAAGATGCAATAAAAGCCATGTCTAAAAGCAAAAGCAAGGCAATCGAATTGACTTGTTGGTCACTTTGTATAAAATTACAACAGTGACAGATGAGAGATTTACAACAGCAATGAGACAATTACAAAGATCATTGTATACTTATAATATCATTGTGAGATTTACAACAATAATAAACATAATTACAAAGATAATGGTATCTTTACAAAATTATTGCGAGATTAACAACATTAGTGAGAGATTAACAATATTAGTGTGTACAAGTACAAAAATAAGGGTATAATTACAACAATAATGAGAGATTTTGAACATTAATAGAAACAACTACAAAGATAATGAGATATTTACAGCAACAATAAGAAATTTACCACAGTAATGAGGATAATTACAAAATTAAAGGTATACTTACAACGAAAGTGGGTAAATTTACGACAACATATTTCTAGTCAGCACTGTACATGTTAATTGATCTATGTGAATTATTTTATTTTATTTTTTAAAAGGGGTGCAACACGAGAACTTCAAAAAGTAACGTATAGTATATTAAAAAAAAAAAAAAAGTAATTGAATTTGATCGATCACCAACTTTTGGTGATCATCATATAGTTGCAGATGTATTAGTTAAAGTACCAGAACTATATTCTGTGGGTTTGTGATTGATCACTAACATTGACTGATTGATTAGGTAATTGCAAACTTGGTAGTTGAAGTAGCAGATTTATCTACTGTGGGGTTGTGATCAATCGATATAAAATATGATCCATCAACTGATGATGTATTTACTTAAATGCCAGTAAACAATAAGTATTAAAAGCGTTTTAGTAGGGGCTTTATTGTAAATTAAGTTATTAGGATACCCAAATAAATCCCTAAATCCTTCAAATTAGTCCTAAATCGCGGCTTATTCTAAACCCATTCCAAATCACCCAATTCCATTTAACCCTAAATTGACCAACACCCCAAATCTCCTTAAGCAAAATAAAAGAAGAGTGAAATTTCCATTATGTAAAAATTTGTAACTTTGTTGATGGCGGGTGGAGAGATGAAGAAACGAAAGAAGGTGGATAGCGAGGGGAGTTCTTGCAACGTGAAACTCTTTGTGGACAAACATGCTAAGAAGAGGTATGATATATTCATTGTTAAACGTCCTCTGTTACTTAAGTGTGGTGTTTACATGAAATACTTTGTGCTTGAAAATGAGATCCTCTGTTTGATGTGAATACAAAAGATAAAACATATGTTGATCTGGTTAAGTTATTTTATGCAAATATTCATAAGTACAAGGGGAATGATCTAACATTTAAGTCATTGGTTAGGAAGAAATTCTTCACTGTTTTGTCTGATCTTATTTCAAATATATTAAAAATTAATAGATCAAACATTCTTGAGAATTCCATTGTCTTTCCAATTGCGACTAAGGAGTAGTTCCCTGAAATGACAACGGTTATTCGAGGTATTTGTATTGGGAGTGTCTATTGGGAGAATGAGAAAAGAAAAATTGCTCACATTAATCTTACACCAATGTATAGGATCTTAAATTGTATTGTTGCTTGTAATATACATTCGAAGGGATATATTGCTTTGATTGGATGCGATACAACCCAACTATTATATTCTATTGGCGAATTTGGAGTTTGTATTGATCTATCTTTTTACATATTCAACCATGTTCTTGAAGTATCTAAGGTAGAGGATTACAAGCCATATCTTCTAGTTCCAATCTTAATTTTCAATATTTGAAGTATTGTAGATTTGAATTTCAGCAGAATGATAGTTTTATGTACCCTATGAATGCAATAGATATAAGTACACTAAATAAAATTGTGGGAGTTATTTCAGGTGCGAAATGGGGTAAGTGTGTGAAGCAGACATCAACAGTGTCTCAGGTTGTGGGTGATCAAGTTGGTTATGCCGTTGGTACTAGTGTGGTTAGACAAACACTTCAGACTATAGTTGAAAAGTTAGAGGCTCAATTTGAAAAGTTTAAGGATGAAACGATGAGATCTTTCCAGCGCCAAGAGACAAAGTTAGATTGTTTTTATAAGGACTTTAAAGAGTAGATCAACAAATGAAACATTGGTTTTGTTTTTTTGTTTTTTTTTGTTGTAAAGTAGAAGAATATTTTGGCAAGTCGTTATAAACATATTGTGGTTTTATGGTTTTTGAGTTTGGTATAGTGAATGTGAATTTTGTGCGTACGTTTATGTTTATATGATTTTAATATTGAATTAATGTATAGGCTAGAGATAAACTTTAACTTTGCACATTTGGTGGGATTAGGAGAAAACATTAGATTGAGGTGTTTACATTACTTCCTTCATTTTGCCCTTGTCATCTATACAAGAAAAAGAGGGTCTGGGGTTGTACCTTCCTTACAACTTAAGAAAGCTGCATTGTATGATCAACTGCTATAGAGTAAAAAGTTGATTATCCCAGATTTGTCCAGTACCCAAATATGTACATGTTAACACTGTAAGAAGTATTGAGTACACTATGTTAATGAAATCGTGGAATAGTTAGTACCAAAAAAATAATAATAATAAAATGGCAAAGTAAATGTAGTCATGCTCACCTCGACATTGTTTAAACAAGTATTAATGTACTGTCTACGCACATTTGAATCAAAATTAGGGATCACTTGTTAAAAAAAATGGATATCAAAACCATGTTGGTATGTACTGAATTTCCCAAAGGAATGAAAAGGTGATATTTTATGAACTTGGTATTGGAGGAAATTATAATTATAAGTATGATTCTATTGGTTGCTTTCTTGAATTGGTGGCATGGGCTGTTGGGAGCCACTAGGTTGTGAGAAACAGTGTTATCAGAACTGGCCCGGCTGGGCCGGGCCAATTGGACTCGTTGAACTGTAATGGGGACCTAAAACTGTTTGGTTCTATAGTTAGATCACATAAGAAAGCAAAACGTCTAAAAATCAATGAACCAATCGATTTTTGATCTAGTGGTGCTCATCTTCTTTCTATCCAGTGGTGTTTTGGCTCTTCGTCTTCCTTAGTTGTGTTTGCCTCTTTGGATCAGAATGGATTGTTCATTGAATTTAACCAAGTCACTGTTCTCTCTCTCTTTCTCTCTGTTACACATACACATACACACTCACTCAGTTACCGTCACTGACTCACAATTATGGTTTATATCTCTTATATTTTATAATTTTTATAAGACTCACAATATTAACCATTAACTATAATACTTATACTTATAATTTTATTAGTTAAATTATTATATTTTATAATTTTAATAATCTTTATTTATTTTTTAATATACGATCGGTCCGACCAGTTGACCCAATTGTTGAACTAGTGAACCATTGACCCGGTCCACCTACCGGTTCGATGACTGGTCCAATTCTGATAATATTGGTGAGAAGGGCATGTCATCGTATCAGTCGTCTGCATGACACATAAACTACGAACACTTACAAATAGTATGTCCGGTTCCCTGACATTTACTACATCTTCATAGAGCTATTGAAAGGTTTTTTTGTACTTGCCCCGGATTTCCTCCAATATTTCTTTTCAACCTAGTCTCATTAAATTTGTGATGTGATGATGAAATTTGTGTTGCCTTGTGTGTATCATGACATTGTTTAATGCGGTTGGTTACTGTAATTATTGTACTTTGAAACTTCTCTGTGTCCTCAAACAATTGTGTAGTGTAGTAACACATTCATCTACACATTGACATTAATTTAGCATATTGACAAGAAATTGATAAGGTTCTTGACGTTTGAGGCACAGTGGTAGTTGGGCAAGCTGATTTTGCATTAATTGTCCATCGCTTTAGAATAGTATTATGAGGCAACTCTCTAATGTGTTCATTTTTCAAAACTGTAATGATGTGTGAGCAAGGAAGCTCAACAAATTCTAATTTCAAGCAATTGCATTTGAAGCTGTGATTGAGATAATCATAGATCACATTCCAACTAGATGTTGGTTATGTGTACTTCGACAGATAATAACTCCAATGAGTAATGTGCTTAATTTTTTGGACCACAAAAAAGAGTTCTTCGGCCTTTATATGATCTCACACTTTAAGAAAAATTGACCTGGTATATAATGAGGTAGTGTGCTTCTCTAAACAGAGTAGTGAAGTGGTCAATGCCGGTGTATTATTTTTAGAATAATGGTTGTCGTGGGCTTCAATCTCTCGGATTCTTGCTACCCCCTTGTCATACTGTCTAACAAACTCTTACAAACGAAGCCTTGTTTTTAGGAAACAATTCAAGTGATCGTTCAAGCTTTCTGAGCATTGCGTGCTTTTTAAGCCACCAAAGAAATGACCCCGCAAGAATGCTTCAGCCCATTTTAAACACTTTGTGTACATATCTGATATCTAGATATGATCCTCCAACCCCAATGATTGTACCATTGATTCCCACATCACGTCAAATTCCTCAGGTGTACATCGGGTGCACATACATTTCTTGAACTCTCGTACAAATTTTTTAGCATATATATTTTGAAGCGCATTTCTCTCCAAATGCCAACTGCATACTATGTGTTTCACATTTGGAATTTTTTTTTCCGATTGTGGCAGCCATGGCCTTATCCCCATTGGTGACAATTGATATAAGTTTTTTATTATCCATTGCATCAAGAAATGTCTCCAACACCCACACATATGTGCCTACGGTCTCATTTGAAAGTAATGCACATCTAAAAATGCAAGTAATGTTGTGTTGGTTTACACTTGCAAGTATAACAAACAACTTTTTGTATGCATTTGTGTTGTATGTTGTATCGAATACCAAAACATAAATAGTCCACACGGAAAGTTGAATCCACCCAAAATATACAATTCAAGGAATTATCATTATCAACGCTATACCTGAAATAAAATAATGGGTCTGAATTCTTTTTGGCCCTCAAGTATGCTAGTGCCCCTTCAGCCTCCTCGTTGTTCATTTCCTCCCTTCACTGGGTTGCAACGTTGTTGTACAAATCATTTCTCGTAAACCCAACATTTTGATAGTCATCTACTTGATGCAATATAAAATCTCGTATTTGGCTAGCGTGTATTCTAACACTGCGAAGTGTTGTTGCTTATGCTCTGTCTGGGCTTTTCACATGACAGTGTGACCGAAGGAACGACACACCACTCGGTAGAACCAATGAATGATTATGATCCTTCATGAACTCCTTTACTACCCATTTTTCTAACTCTCTTATACTTAACGCAGAATACTACCAGACAACCCATTCGAGTCAGTCTTTTGGGTTCCCTTGCCCTTTTATATCGGTCTAAGTATTTTGCAGCTCGAAACCCTTGTTGTGAACATTCCCATTTCCTTGACATTGGAACATAATTTTTGACATATTTTAAGTCATCGTTTCTGACACTGAAACCTGCAAACTTAGCGTATGTGTTATAAAATTATCCGCTTCATCTTCCGAGTTAAACTTCATGTCAAGGACTTCTTCAGCTGATAACTCTTGTAACATATTTTTCACAACGACAAGTTTTGAGGTAGTCGCAGTTTATTTACTTCTATTTTGATGGAATTTACTGTGACGATGCCCATATTCATCATTATAGTTACCAAACTAAACATATCACTCTCTATGGGATCCTCATTCAAGTCTATAACGACGTGCGTTTCTTTCTCAAAGCTATTACGATCCATGTAATGAGTGAAACCTACATTGAAAATATTTAAAAAAAATGGATTACTGCACCAATAAAGAATTATTGTTTGCCATATGTAATTGTATTACAGTAACTAAAATAAACAAAAAAAAATCATTTTAATTTATTCAAACTAAATGTCATTCAAAATAGTGGAGATCATGTGTGACATACATTTACAATTTCCTTTCTTCTCATCTATCCGTAGACATTGAAGCCTCAAGGTTGTTGGAGTTGGTTTATGAGAACCCACAAACACATTGAGAAAACTTGGATTGGCTAACAAATGATACTTACAAATAGTTGAGACACATTAAATTGAGGATGAGATTAGATGAACAGGTTTTATTGCTATGCATTAAGTTAAAGATTTGAGTATGGTACTTCCAAAAAAATTGGGTGTACCATACCTCACAAATGTACGTCTTTAAATGATGTTTTTACAACTTTTGTGGGTCATTTTATAATAATTTTTTTTTATCACTTTTGTAGTTGATTTACCATTTTTGTGAGTGTTTTAACCACATTGGTCGTAACTATTTTTACAATTGTATTTCTATACAACATCAATTCCAAGTTTTGTGGTTGGTTTACCATATTTTTACTATATTTGTGAATTTTATTACGATTGTAAAATAATTAGTCTTACAATTTTTTTTGGGTAAGTTTATAAAAAATGTATCATCTTGAGTTTTGTAAAATATTTACCATAAATGTGTTCAAAAAAACCCATAACATTGGTAAAAACACTAACAATTTTTTTTAATATATACCAATTAGAGAAGTATGCCATTTTTTGTTACGGTTCCAATTTTGTTTCATTTTTCAATCATGTAGTGAAATTATAAAATTCAATATATTTTTTTTTATTTGGTAAAATTACATGTTATGTTTGTAGGGATATTTTTGTATTTTTTCTTGAATTTTTATTACAGGTAAAATTAAGGAATCAAACTGTGCAATATCAGTTTATGCCAAATCACAATACCCATTTCCGAAAAAACAAAAAACCTCATTCAAATTTCAAATGACGCCCAAAATTCAACCCATTTCCCCCGCCCAATTTTTAGCTTCCCCTTCCCCCAAAATCGCATGCCTAGTCCCTAATTTGAAGATTATCTCTCTCTCTCTCTTAGATTACGAAAACTCTCTTGGTCTCTTTCTCATCATCGATCGTTGTAGGTGTCTTGTCTCGTTCTATACTTCACTAAACTTTTGCCATCGTCGATTGCTTCACTGCAAGATCACCACTATCTCTTTAATCTCATTGAAAAGAACCTAGTTGTTGATAAAAAATAATCTTTGCTTGAATTTTTGAGGGATTTGTCAAAGTTTGTTAGAAATAGTTGTGGATGTTGTTAGTGTTAATGTTTTCATTGATTGTTTGGGGGTTATTGTCAATTTTGTTAGTGAA